CTTAATAAAACTTCAAAAGTTATTTAAAATGTTTACAAAAGAAGAACTCTAAAAAGATTCAAATAATATAATATTTTGTCTAAGAAATCTTTGAAAATATTTTATTATGCAAGAATTTGGCTTCAGTTGAATAGACGAATATAATTGTACAATGTATTTTCCAAACGTATAATAATTGTAGTTATGTAAAATCTAACCATTTACCCTGACCATTTTAATAACAATTATAGTTGGATACAGTGGCTCTCCCCTGTAATCCCAAGGGCTGGGAGCGTGGCAGGTTACGGCAGGAGGATCCCAAGTTCAAAGTCAGACTCAGCATTTAGTGAGGCTCTAAGCAACTTAACAAGAACCTGTCTCAAAATAAAACATAAAAATGGCTGGAGATGAGGCTCAGTGGTTAATTGCCCTTGGGTTCAATTCCCAGTACCAAAATAATAATAACAACATCATTCATTACAAATAAATACCTTTTAGTCTTATTTCTTTTTAACCTCTTCACTGAACAAACATTCCCCGGAGAAACTGGATCCTTCTAAGATTAATTTTCACTAACAATCACTAAAAGGGCAAAACAGTATAAGGAAGACCTAAGTGAGAAATAAGCAGGCTTGTATGGCTCCCATAGACTAGAATTTAAGAAACACATTTATCACAATAAATGTGACTTCAACTGCTTGTCGGATTCACTGTCACCTCAAATGTATCATGTTATCAACTTAACTCTTCATATCTTCTACCATCATATTCAATATTCCTCTTAAACAAAACAAAGAGTTGTCTGGACTTCCTTATTTCTCTCCTGGCATCAAGGGATCTGTCACAGCATTTTCATTTATCAGTCACTCATATGAGAAACTTTGAGTTCAGGATCTCATTAGCTCCTGCCTGCGTTATTTTAATAGGCTCCTAATTTGTCTCCTCATCTCATCTATTATCACTTGAATTCAAAAGCATCAGCCTGCCAGCAAGCTCAAATATCACTTTAATCACATTACAACTCAGTTCGAGAATTCTAGCTTGAATTTTATCCTATGAGCCGTGGAAAGCAAACTCTTTATAACGGCATTCAAAGGCTTTTTCTAAACTTATCTTCTGCTTCTGTTCAACATGAACTCTGTGGAATCAGGATGATCTAGAACCAATTCTATGAATGTCTTGCTCAAGCTGCCCTCCCACCTCACTTTCTTGTCAATGCAAATTCATCCTCCCAGCATGCTCAACTGAAATGCAAATACAGTTTCCAGTAACCAGTACAGCTGTAAATGAACTCTTTTCCTTTAGAATTTCAACAACCCTCACATATTGTCTGACCCACAGGCAGGGCAGCAAGTCATACTGACTCCTACTGACAAATAATTATTTTTATTAACTTGAGGTAATTTTTTGTGGACCCTTTATTTGTTGTACTTCTCACAGCTCCTAACAGCTAGAAAACTGGTAAATGCACAATTAATATTTGGTGAACAATGAATTATTTGCATATTTAGGTTTTATACAAAGCCAAGTGTGTGGTGTGTGTGTATGTGTGTGTGTGTGTGTGTGTGAGAGAGAATTTTCTATATATCTCCAAGACGTTTCTCTAACAAAACAAATATTATTTTACATTAGTTCATGTATGGGGGTTCCCAAGGCCATCCCTGGGTTTGGTGATTCCTTAGGAGAACTCACAGGACTTAGCATATAGTTGTATTATGGCTATGATTTATTACAGCAACAGGATACAAAGCAGACTCAGCCACAATTTCTTTAGCATTAAATTGTGACATGTGTTGTCTATTAGGAAAATTCATTAGAGACTCAGTGCTGAAGGTTTTTATTAGGTTGGTTACTTTAGCACCCTTTACTTAATTTGGACCCAAATGCATGACTCTCAGAAGGTGTTTATCACGAATCACACTTTGTGCAGTCTAGGCACACTGAGCAGCTTGTATCATTTAGATGAAGTTTTATATCATATAGTATCATCAAGGGTGAAGCTTATCACAGGACAATTTTTCATTTACACTCAGGTTCCCAGACACTAGCCAAGGGCAACCTGGTAAACCTTTCTAAAAACAGCAGTCTTGAGTGTGCTTTATTATACCTTTTACATATTATTGATTTCACATTTTTATGGAAGAAATGTTACAGTGTTTAAATGTTTCTGATTTAAAGGGTCCCACAAACAGATTTTTAGAAATTAAAGCCTAGCATTTAATTACAGTTGCATTCCTAGACTGACATCCACTAGGTAAGAGTAATGCAATTTTAAAATAATTTACTTACCACTGGTATTTCAGGATTTCTTTTTTCTCTTGTAAAATGAGGAATATTTCTTAAATCAACATTTTTGTACTTGTTAAGAAAAAGGAATTAAGTATAACATCTAAAGCAAACAGACCTTCCTGAACAAGTTCGTCATCTCCTCTTTAAATGCCAACTGGACGCCAAAGCACTATTAGGTGTCTTAGGCACATCACCTTACTAAATTCTCAAAATCACCTCAAGTGTCAGCGACTGTTTCAATTTTACAGATTTTTAACTTTGAGAGCCTAAGTAACCACAACCAGGTCTACCACGGTGGAACTGGGATTAGGCTTAAACCTACCTCATTCCAAACTCTTGTTCTTAGCTTTATGCTAATTCTCTCTACCTAACTTCAAAGGCACATACTACTTATTTTGAATCATTTCCCTCAAACTGTTTTTTTGTTTGTTTGTTTGGCTGTACCAAGCACTATTCTTTTTTTCCATAAATACAAATTTGTAATGATAAGAACTGAGGAGGAGGGATGGAGCTGTAGCTTAGTGGCAGAGCACTTGCCTAGCCTGTGTGAGGCACTGGGTTCGATCCTTAGCACCACATAAAAATAAAGGCATTCTGTCCATCTACAACTACAAAAATAAAAAAAATTAAAAAAAAGAATTGAGAATGGGGGGTGATGAATCAAGAATCAGAGTTTTCTCATTCTCTGCTCAGCCTAAAAAGTTTAAAAAAAAAAAAAAGGAAAAAAAAATCAAGCAATATGCTTACCTGTGTTTACCTTGATTAAAGCCAGATTTTAGTTGGAAGAGAAAGGGTGAAGCTTATCACAGGATAGTTTTTCATTTCCAAGTCTTGCAGAAGATGAATCAAATGATACCCACTGCACCTTAAATCCATTAGGAAGCTGCCTATTTAGAAACTCTTCAGCACAGAACACACTTTCCCCCTTTATCTGGCATCACCCTGTTTGAAGTTACACCTGTATCAGAATCTCGGCATTACACATATCATCTGTGGGGACTTTGAGTCATTTATTCACAAAATGTGGATCCCTAGGCTTGCTGTGAGAATTAAATAGGATAGTATATTTCAGGAGGATCGCAAGTTCAAAGCCAGACTCAGCAATGGTGAGGTGCTAAGCAACTCAGCCAGACAATGTGTATAAATACAAAATACAAAATAGGGCTGGGGATGTGGCTCAGTGGTCCAGTACTCCTGAGTTCAATCCCCGGTATGAAAAAAAAAATTATATTCAAAAGGCCTAGTGGACATGTTTTCTGCAATGACTAAATAACTGACTTTAAGAAGGTAGTCGGCAAGTGTCCTGACCACCAGGTGTCACCATTGGGCCAAAAGTACTCACCTATCTGCTCCAGGTAGGGGGGTAGAATCCAGCAGCAAAACTGTCACTTTCACCTACAGTACATTCAGAATTGATATAGGCTTTTTGGTACCTTGGGAGCTGGTATTATACATATATGTATATATATTATTTGCACCATTCATTGTTCTCTTACAGGTGTACTAAAATATAATTAATTAGATGAATACCCTCAGATTTGTTACCACAATTTAATTTTTAAGATTATCCTCAGTGGACTATTTATTAATTTTGAGAATCAATAGTGCTTTATATATCCTTTGGTTTAGCCAACCAGACATTATCGGGCTTCTATAGACTTCAATGTTGCCACAGTGGACAATTTTGTGGCTCCAATTCCACAATCCATTGACATTATTTCCTTCACAATTTTAATGGGATGACAGATAAAAAAGAAAGTACAATATTTTTAGTGTAAAAATAAAGTCTATGACCACTGTACGTGGGTTAAACAAAGATTGTTAACCCTTCTCCTTGACCTCAGAACTAAAAAATTCAGTTATTAACTTTTTGTTTTCTATTTTCTTGAAAAGAAAAAAACACCCTAGGGCAAATCTGTCAATCTATGAATAACCCTGAAATCACTCAAGGAACACTGCCACACCTGGCTGCATTCTGGAACCTACTAATGTCTCTCCCAGAGAGTGCATGGGGCACACAAGGAGGAGCTCATTTCAAAATGAGCTCAGAGGTTGGGCTTCCCTCCTGGTTCTAAGTCCCCCACATTGAGACTCACAGTGGTCACTTCAAGATAGGTAATTTGATGAGCATTAGCTCAGAGCTGGAGGTGCAATCTATAGTCTCATGGACTGTTTCCTCATCTGCTAGGAACACTTGCCTTAAATTAAGGCCGACCTGGCCTACCTCAGTCTCAATCTGGGCGTGCAAACCCCCCCCCCCCCCAGCCCACCAGAAAGAAGACTGACACCAAGCACAGGCTGTTCAGAGGGGGTGTTCTTGGAACTCGAGCAGCTGGGGTCATTTTTGTTTTTAACAACAGCTCCAATTGCACTTTGTATTTTACAAATATGGAAATGTCTTAAGGGAAACAAGAAGCATCCTCTCTCTCCCTTTGGCCATTGCACCCATTCCTAGAGAATTGGGAGGAAAGAGCTGTCACCAGGAACCATTTGGAGCCAGGAACGCAGAAGCCAAGGCCAACCTAGATAAACCCATTTGCGAAGCACTTTGTGCTGATCGATACATTCCTGACTGATTTCAGAACGGTCCCTGGAGGACAGCGAGCTCAGGAGGCTGGCTGCCTGGCTGGAACGAAGGGGCCAAGGGAAGGGATGCTGTCCATGAACCAGCCAAGGCTGCGCAGGCGGGGCGCGGGGCTCAGGAGGCGCTGGAGGCGCGGAGGGCGCCTTACCTGGAGGACTCCGCGGTGAAGCTGCCGCCGTCCAGCAGCCGCATCTTGCAGAAGAGGACCCCATTGACGAAGGGTACCGAGGAGAGCTCCTCGAGCTCGAAGTCCACCTTAAACTTAAACTTCTTCTTCTTCATCATTGTGAGAGCCAGGCGCCGGCGAGCGGGCTGCGCGGGCGGGCGCCGCCGCCTTAGCTCCGCTGAGCCCCGGATCCGCCCAGATCCATGGCCGGGGCCGCGAGCTGCGCGCGGGGGCGCGGCCGGGGGGCGCCGCGGGCCGACCGGGGCCGGGACCGCCGCCGCCGCCTCTCGCGGCAGCCCGGGCCGGAGCGCGGCGGCTGCGGCACGGACCCCGGCCGCCTTCGGCAAGCGGTTGTGCTGCAGCTCGCCCGGGGAAAGAGCGCCCTTTGGTGCGCACCTCGCCGCTGTCGCCACCCTTCTGAGAGCGGCGAGAGGCGAAGCTCAGAGTAAGGTCGCAGTCTCCGCCTCAGCCACTCGGGCCGGGGCGCCCCCAGCGGCCGCGATGTGCAGCGCACCGCCCGGCGGAAGCGGGAGGCACGGGGAGGGCGGGGAGATTCGCGGCGGGCGGGCGCCTCGCGGGGGAAACTAATCCGCGACGGCAGTTAGCGCGTCACGCCTCTCCGGGGTTAAAAAAAGACGAACGCAGCCAAAAAAGCTTCCTTCTACAGCTTCCTCGGCGCCTTTGCTTTCAGTTTTTCCCCCGCCTCGTTTCTCCCCCTCCCCTTCCAGCGATTTCTTTCCCTTGGGTTTTAGAGTTAATAGAGACCCTCAGAATATGACGTTATTTTAGTCAAATTGAAATCCAAAAACTAAAATCCAAATATTAAAATTTCCTTTAAATACTCAACACTCGCGAACTTTCAAATATGACATGAAGAAGAGGAAAAAGGAAAGGAAGGGAAATGTGTTGAGGGCCTACCAAGTGCCCAGCCCTGTACTGATACAGGCATTTTTTTTTTTTCTTATCTAATGCCTGTCACCCAGGGTAAAAAAAAAAAAAAAAAAAAAAAAAAAAAAGCGTAGAAGGAGTTAAAATCACACCTTCCCTTTTAAAATTTGCCCATATTCGGAATTGAAAATGCTTAAAATCAAATTCTTCAGGGTAAGCTTTTTTTTTTTCCCCTAAATCTTGCTACGTGCATAGCAATTACCTTTCAAGTATAAGCACATACAGTATCTTGTTAAAGTGTATGTTGACTTTGTTACACAAAGTTCAGGTTTTTAAACTGAGATTTTTATCCTTTAATCTCAAAGATTCTCTTGCAGTAACCTCTGAAAGGGTGTAATTGAAAAGATTCTCTTTCCTAGTTAATTCATTTATTCATTCATTCATATAAAATATTTTAATTGCATAAATGTCAATCACAGGCTCCTCCCAATGATTAAAAAAAAAAAAAACCTAAGAATTTTACCCTCTACTGATGGAGACATGTTTAGATCCAACATTAAAAGACATGGCATCAAGCCAGGTGCCCTAGCCGTCTACTCGGCTCAGCTACCCATCAAGCCCAGGTGCTTCTGAGGCTGAGGCAGGAGGATCACAAGTGGGAGGCCAGCCTGGGACACCGAGACCCTGCCTCAAAATTTTAACAAGCATGGGGGATCTATAGCTCAGTGGTAGAGTGCTTAACTAGCATGTGCAAGGTCCTGGGGTCGAACCCCAGAACTGCAAAAACATACAAAAAAAAAAAATCCCACAAGCAGACAAACTTAAGTAGAACTTAGGTAGAACTTGGAGGAAGAAGCAATGAATCGAAATTGACCAGTTTTCTGAATTTCAAAGAATGCAAAGGATTTGAGATAAAGGTGGGGGGAAAGTGTTCTTGGTAAAAGAAATAGGAAAAATAAAGACCCAGAAACAGAGTGTAAAATGTGAGAATGGATGAAACTTGTTGCCCAACAGGACAGGGGGCGGGGGACAGTGGGAAGAGTTGGAGGACTTTGAAGTTTGTCACTTGGACACCTGGGTGGACTGAGTACTGGAAGCAGGAGGAGGACAGGTTGGGAATGGAGAAATTATAATGAGACTTTATCTGAACTACTTGCAGGGAGAGAGGGCCAGCCTTAGCTCATGTGAAAGGTTAAGATTGAAAATATGCTTTTGGGGATTGTGGTATTTACTGATGGCTGAAGTCCAAAAGGCAGATAAGAATGAGCTGCTCTGAAGAATAGTTAATGGGTAGACAGAGGAGGAGCCCATTGTGAAGGCTTCCAAGAACAAAGAGCCAGAGAAAGAGGAAAATCAAGAAAGAGAGATGACCTGGAAGCCAAGAGAGAGTTTTAACCATTCAACATTTGTAGTTACTAAGACCTACTGTGTGCCAGGCTGTTAGCTGGGATCTAGATACAAATGAATAAGAATAAGACATACAGGGGCTTACAAATGAATGGAAGAAAACAGAAAAGCAACAGATCAATGAGAGACAGAGACACATAGAGAGAGGTAAAGACTCATTCCCTGTCCTAGGGATCACAGTCTTGAAGGACACAGATAAGTAGGCAATTGTAGTATAATGTAACAGTGAATACTCTCTCTGTATAATGTACATAAAGACTGCAAAGGGAGAGTATTCTACCATCTCAGGGAAGCTTCTGAGGGTGACTTTTTGATGAGAGTGGGGGTGGGGAGCAGTTTCCAGCCTACTCTGAGTGTGCAGAGACTCAGAGGAAGAGAACACGTTGCAGAGGGAACTGAAATTACTTCTGTCTGGCTGCGGTTTACAGTGGGGGTGTGGTGACGGGTATACTTGGGAGCCATTGACGTTTTAAGGCAGAAGAAGGGCATCTTAGAAAGACCTCCAGCGGTAGTAAAACTGGAAGATGGGAGATGGTCTGTTATTCTATTTTGGGCTTATAGTCGAAAATTTTTGCTTATTAAACACCTACTATGAGTCAGGGTCAAAACAGACATCATGCTCAAAGTGTTTAGATGAGGGAAGTTTAATGAAAGGACCCTACAGAGTTGGGGGCAGGATCAAGAACTCACAGTTTGGTGGGGAGTTGAAAGGAGACAGAGATAAATATCCTGATCTGTGTCAACTCCTGTTTTCTCCTCTCCTGCTGGAGTCTCTCATGATCCCACCCAACCAAAACCAGAGGGCAAAGGAGCCTGGAATATGCAGTTCATACAGGACAGCCTTAGGAAGCACAGATGGTAAGGATAGGTAGTGGTAAAATGATAGGAAGTACCAGCACACACCCGATTCAGCCAGCATTTACTGTAGGAATCCACAACCACTCTAGATATTTCAAAACCCAAAGGAATTTCATCCAGCATTTCAGTGCTTCTGAGGTCCCTGGAAGGGATGGAGGAGTAGAAATCCCCAGAATAGTGAGTCCAAAGTCATATCAGTTATGATGAACATTACTAGTCTGGTCCTACTTTACTTCCTTTTAAAATTTTTTTATTTGTTTTTTTTTAAAATTATACATGACAGTAGAGTGTATTTTGACATATCATACATGCATGGAGCATAACTTCCCATTCTTGTGATTGTATATGATGTGGCATTACACTGGTCGTGTATTCATATATGAACACAGGAAAGTTATGTCCGATTCATTCTATTGTCTTTCCTATTCCCATTGCCCCTCTCTTCCCTTCATTCCCCTTTGTCTAATCCAATGAACTTCTATTTTTCCCTTCACCCCCCTCCTTATTGTGTGTTAGCATATGCATATCAGAACATTTGGCCTTTGATTTTTTGGGGATTGACTTGTTTCACTTAGCATGATTGTCTACAGTTCCATCCATTTGATGGCAAATGCCATAATTTCATTCTTATTTATGGCTGAGTAATATTTCATTATGTATGTATATCACATTTTCTTTATTCATTCATCTGTTGAAAGGCATGTAGGTTAGTTCCGTAGTTTAGGTATTGTGAATTGAGCTGTTATAAACATTGATGTGGCTGCATCACTATAGTACGCTGATTTTAAGTCCCTTGGGAATGTGCCCAGGGATGGGGTAACTGGGTCAAATGGTGGTTCCATTCCAAGTTTTCTGAGGAATCTCCTTACTGCTTTTCTTAATACTTGCACCAATTTGCAGTCCCATCAGCAATGTATGAGTGTACCTTTCCCCCCAAATCTTCACCAACATTTATTGTTATTTGTATTCTTGATAATTGACATTCTGATTGGAGTGAGATAAAATCTCAAGGTAGTTTTAATTTGCACTTCTCTAATTGCTAGAGATGTTGAACATTTTTTTCATGTATTTATTAACTGATTGTATTTCTTCTGTGATGTGCACATTCAGTTCCTTTGCCCATTTATTGATTGGGTTATTTATTTATAAGTTTTTTTTTTTGGTACTGGGATTGCATCAGGGGCACTTGACCACTGAACCACATCCCCACCCCTATTTTGTATTTTACTTAGAGACAGGGTCTCACTGAGTTGCTAAGTGCCTCACAGTTGCTGAGGCTGGATTTGAACTCACAATTCTCTTGTCTCAGTCTCCCAATCCATTGGGATTATAGGTGTGCAGCACCACGCCCAGATGGTGTTAAGTTTTTTGAGTTCTTTATATATCCTGGAAATTGATTCTCTGAGATGCAGGTGGCAAAGACTTTTTCCCCCCATTCTGTAGGCTCTCTCTTCACATTCTTGCTTCCTTTTGTGTGACTCATTTACTTCCAAATATGGAAGCTTACTATTTCTAGGCCCACAGGTAGACAGGACCATGTGACTAATTCTAGCCAATAATATCTGAGAGGAAGTAATGTGTTCCAGGATGACACCGTCGTCACAAGCTTGTGAACACTCTCTAGACTGTCTCTTCCCTGCCACAAAAGTCATGGAAGAGACCCTGGGGTAACATATAGTAGCTACAAAGTTAAAGCATCCTAGATTCTAAGAACATGGAGAGCAACTGTCCACATCTGCAGTAAACAATTTGGTGTGAGAAAGAAACTTTTACTGCATTAGGCCACTGAGATTTTGGGAATCATTTGTTACTTTTTTAAAAAATATTTTATTTTATATTTTTAGTTGAACACACTACCTTTATTTTATTTATTTATTTTTATGTGGTGCTGAGAATTGAACCTAGGGCCTCGCACATGTTAGACGAGTGTTTTACCACTGAGCCACAACCCCAGCCCTACCCCCACCCCAATCATTTGGTACTAATAAGCCTGGCTTATTCTGACTGGAATATACTTAGGATTAGACACTGTTATTGCTGATGTCAGCACTGGCTCTCACACCATGAAGACCATAAGGGGAGTGTGACTGTCATATACATGTCATCATACCTCACTTACAAGTGACCTGTAAATGCAGGAAGGTAACCTTCATTTACTTGTACATTTTTTTCTAAGTATATCTCTTTGGCAGACCTTATTTGTACCTAGAACTCAAGTGGGAAGGGATTCTAAGAAATGTCATTTTTAGCTTTTCAACTTCTTCAAACAGGAGGGTGGAGTGGAAGTTGGAA